ATCAACCTAGTTCACAGCAACCCCAAACTCCTAGGCTCAAGCTATCCTCCTGCCTCAGCCTTCCAAGTAGCTAGAAATACAGGCGCATTCTACCACACCCGGCTAATTTCTTCTATTTTTAGTATAGATGGGGTCTCACTCTTGCTCGGGCTGGTCTCGAACTCCTGAGCTCAAGTGATCCTCCTGCCTTGGTCTCCCAGAGTGCTGGGATTATAGGCATGAGCCACTGCTCTTGGACATACATCCTGGCAATATAATTTCTTGGCTTTTCCATTTTCTCTCAGCATTGTTTATTCCCCCAACATTTTACTATGAAAAAATTTTAAACATACAGAAAAATTGAAAGAATTATACACTTATGTACCCACCACCTAGATTCTGCAACTTCACATTTTCAATGTTGATTTTGGTCTTTATGCTGATACATATAGTCTGGTTAATCAACTTCCTGAAGCTTTATGATGTATTCATTCTCCTACTAAGAGAACTTCAGGTTAGGTTTTTCCTCCTTTGTTGCTATACCTAATAGTCTTACACATGTGTCTGGGGTATTTGAAATTTCTTGGTTATAGTGTATGTATATATTCAGCTTTACTGGGTAGTGCTAGATTAGTTTTCAAAGTGTTTATATACCAATTTACACTCTCCAGTAGAAGAGTTTGTGTTTCCTTCCCACTATTGCCAACATTTAGTATTAGCACATTCTTTATTTTTTATTTTTTTGCAATCTAGAATAGGATCTCTGACTATAATGTTGGTTTTGCATCTAGTGAAGTTGAGCATTTCCTCATGTTTGATTGTTCAGATTTCTTTTGTTAATTGTACATGTCATTAACCCATTTCTCTGTAGTGATTTTTAAGATTTTATATTCTATGGACTAATCCATTGTTGTACATGTTGTTAGGTATCTTCTAGTCATTGTCTTGTCTAACTTTGATTTTTCACAGAAGCTTTTTATGTGAGCAGATACAGCTCTCTGTGTTCATGGTTCGCTTTTATCTAGTAAAATTTTCAACCCTCTAGGCTTGTAAAGATTCTTTAAGCTTCACTTTTGCTTTTCAAGTTTGGCTATTAACTTACTTGATCAAGTCAGCATCTAGCTAGTTCTTATCTCAGTGTAGAAATAATGTTGCCCCAGTAGTGGAATGAGTACCTTGTGACAAAATGCCACAGAAGAATGAACTTTTATTGTTGTAGGTCATTCAGTGGTGCACCCACCACAAGGATGACCCTCCTCCTCCTGAGGATGATGAGAACAAAGAAAAGCGAACAGATGATATCCCTGTTTGGGACCAAGAATTCCTGAAAGTTGACCAAGGAACACTTTTTGAACTTATTCTGGTATGTTTTTAATGTATAAGTGGTTTTATTCCAGAGCCTTTTGCACTTCTTGTAGAGTTAAATTTGCCAAATTCATTGATACTGAATTTTTAATACTCTGAACTCGTATGTAATGCTATATGTAAAGCCACATACCAGTAATCATAATAAATGTAAACAGTCTAAACACCATAGTTAAAAGACAAAGATTGTCAGATCAGTTAAAAAAGACTCAGCTATGTTGTCTGTCAGAAACCCACTTTAAATACAAAGACACAACTAGGTTTAAAGGATGGAAGAAGATACACTATGCTATCGCTAATGAAAAGAAAGTGGAAGTGACTATGTTAAAGTAGATTTTGGAGCAAAGAATATCACCTCTGTTAAAGAGGGTTGTTTTATAATGGTAAGGGGATCAATTCATTAAGAAGACATACAATCATAAACATTCATCTACCTCGAAGCAGAATTTCCAAAAAGTGAAACAAAAACCAGTAGAAGTCAAAGGGGAAATCCACAGATCCACAGTCATAGTTAGATTTCAACACCTGTCTCAATAATTAATAGAACAAGTAGCTGGAAAATCAGTAAGAATATAGACGACTTGAATAACACTGTCAACCTGCTTGTCTTAATGGACATTATAGAACATTACATCTAATGACAGTGGAATACACATTCTTTTCAAGTCTCTATTACCAAGATAGACCATATCTTGGGCTGTAAAACATCTCAAATTTAAAAGGATTCAAATCATACAAAGTGTTCTTTGACTGCAATGAAATTAAGTTAGAAATCACTAACAGAAATGTACCTGAAAAAATCTGAAAATATTTGAAAACTAACACATTTCCAAATAACGTATGGATCAGTGAAAAAAAAATTAGAGAACTATTTTGAACTGAATAGAGATAAGACATATGAAAAGTCTGCGGGATACAGCTAAAGCAATACTTAGAGGGCAATTGATAGCATTAAACACCTATATTAGGAAAGAAGAAAAGTTTTAAACCAATAAACTTCGACCTTAAGAAACTAGTGAAAGATGAAATTAAAGTAAGCAGAAGAATGAGAATGTTAAAGAGCAGAAATCAATAAAATAGAAAATAACAGAGAAAATTAATGGAACCAAAAGCTGGGTTTTTGAGATTAATAAAATGTAATGCTGTAACTGCTTATGTTTGAACTTTTTAAGCATGGATAAATATTTTTGCCAAGACCTGACATGTAGTGCTTGCAGACACACATAAACACACACAACACCCAGTAGAGGCTGTGTTAGATATAAGATACTAAGCTTAATTAGATATGGATTTAATTTAAAACATCAAATATACCTTAATGAAAACAACCATCACTTTGCAGGCTGCAAACTACTTAGACATCAAAGGTTTGCTTGATGTTACGTGCAAGACTGTTGCTAATATGATCAAGGGGAAGACTCCTGAGGAGATTCGCAAGACCTTCAATATCAAAAATGACTTTACTGAAGAGGAGGAAGCCCAGGTAGGTAACACACAATTTTGTCCTTGATCACATGCTTCTTAAGAGACTAAACCTGTAACATGCCAGAATAAGAGGTGCCTGTATCAAGTAGTCTTGATACTTGAGGATGATAAGTACCTTCTGTGTCTAAACATACTCTTACTGGCCTGTCTCTAAGTCTAAACACTTAGATGATTCTGCTCTTTTATAAGCATAAGAACAATTAGTTTTCAACCAAGGGAACTCTTTCATATTCATTTATTAGTAGTTACTAGTTTTGGCACCTGGGACATTTTGTATAGATCATAGATATTTGACTTCAGAAAAGCAGCTCTGTGGAGAAGTGTATGCTAGGATACTTCAGAGGAACTTAGTGAATGGGAAGGAAATGAATGAATAGATCAGAATGATTTGTTGACACGGCTACAAACTGAAATCATGTGAATGAACTGATTGAATTTGCTCTGTCAGCTGTGGCAAATTGCCATTGCCTTTACTTTTCTGGTCATTTCAGCAGGGCAAGATAAAAACCTGGGGAGGCAAAGGGAGGAAATCAGGAAGTTTATTCTTAACTTGGTGTTTTTCCAGTTTTCCTTCTGACTCACCTCACTGGCTATTGACGAATCAGGTAGTATTTACAAGTCTTAAGAAAGACTCAGGGTACTTCCTTATAGCTCTCTCTTCTTCTAGGTGCGCAAAGAGAACCAGTGGTGTGAAGAGAAGTGAAATGTGCTGACACTGTAACACTGTAAGGATTGTTTCAAATACTAGTTGCACTGCTCTGTTTATAATTGTTAATATTAGACAAACAGTAGACAACTGCAGCAGCAAATCCACTGTATTAGCAGAATATTGTCCTCACCGCATGTGTAGTTTGAGTACAGATTCCAAACCTATGGTTGACTTTCTTCTAGTATGATCGAAAGTTTCTTTTTTCTTTGCTCTGAATAAAACTGAACTGTGGGTTCTCTATATAGAAAGTGGCATTTGGGGCTTTCCCTCTTTTTTGTAAAGTGATTTCTGCCTAGTTTATTGTCCAGTTAATGTTAGTGACCTTTTAAAAGTTGACATTATATATAAAACAACTTGCAAAGAATTTTCTGAAATAGAATTAAGAAAATACTATCTTAATGCATGAGTTGGAAACTGGAGAAAGGCTACTTGAAGTAAGTGTTCTGAGTAGGGTTATTAGGATGCCTTCCGGCCTCCTAGAGTCAGGGAGTACCACTGGTATTGATTCGCCTGTATGTAGCAGGGCTCCCTTAATTGGATCTGAGGACTTTTTTTTTTTTTATTTTTAATTCTCTTAGCTTTGAATATATTGCCTAGACTAGAGACATAGTTACCTACCCAATTTGTGGTTTTCTTTTGGAGAAATGTAACTGGACAGTTTGTTAGCTTTTCAATTAAAAAAGACACTTAACCCATGTGGTATGTCATCTTTTTATCATTGTTCCTATGTGGGGAAAACTCACACTACTGCATGTAAAAAATAACCTTTAACATTAAAATATATGGCAAAATCCAGAAAATATCCATCATGAATGCAAGATACTTTCAATAAAAAGTAAGTTATATAGTAGGTAGTTAACAGTTTGCTTTTGTGGACTTAAATGTGTCTCTTCACTTAATAAATGGGTTAAATTTGTGTACATTTGTTTAGCTTGAGAAGTCTTTTAGGCAGTTCATGTCCTGGTTCACTGGAGGCTGCTGACGTAACCATAGGATACTGATAGACTTCTGTCTCTTCTAATTGTCGTTCATGTGGTTAACTGGAGCCAGTGCTTCAGTTCTTAACGCAAAACCACACTGCCATTGTTCCCAGCTTCCCCCTGTAGTAGAATGAAGTTTTTTTCCAGTGGCTTAAGATGGCTCATACCTTTTTTCCCCCACTCCTTGTGCTCTTTTTTCTCCTTTCTTTCACAGTTAACATCATCTGCATTCACATGTAATCTTACTGTATTCTTTTCACATATACTGTGAGCTGTTCAGGCTCAGATTATCACTTGACAGTGGTTTGCCTTTCCTTCACCTCTCATTTGTCCCAAATTCACCTTATTTAATAAAGTCTCACACGTCATTTCACATAATTCCCATGTGTTGTCTGTACCAGAGGTACTAAACTACAACATTGTGTGAGTCCAATCAGGCCTGTAGCATGTTTTTGCAGTCTTGAAGCTAAAAATGGTTTTTATGTTTTAAAGGGTTGGTTTTTGCTTTTTTTAAAAAATAAGGTGGAATCTTGCTGGTTGCCCAGGCCGGATCTTGAACTCCTGGGCTTACTCGATCCTCCTGCCTCAGCCTCCCGAGTAGCTGAGATTACAGGCACGTGCCACTGCCCGGCTACATTAAAGGGTTGTTTAAAAAAATATATACAGCAGAGACTATATTTAATCAAAAAGCCTAAAATATTTACTATCTGGCATTTTATAGAAAAAGTTTGCCAACCCCTGTGACCACTTCTGGATCTGTTTCCCTTTACTCTCAGGAAATAAGCTTGTTTTCCATTTGTCCTGGTTTTAGTTGGGGAAGATAGCAGAGTCCAGTCTAGCTGAATGTCTCATCTACCAATTCCTGCTATAATTAATGATCAACTTCTGCAAAAAACTTGTCCATTTCAAGTATCTCTAGCAATATCATGATAAACACAAATTTTCACTGTAGGTCCAGGATCACTAACATATGCCATGTTTAATTTGTAAAGGAAGTATCAGCTTCTAGGAAATAGGAGCCTATTATTAACTCTTGATCTGTATAACACTCGAGTAGTTAGAATTTCAGGAATAAATAACATCACTACCCATATTTAAAGGATACTGTGATCTTTCAGAAAGATTCAGTGGACAGACAATAGTAGTTTCAGTTTCCTCTTCTTGATTTTCTATAGGCCTTAGTCTTTAAACATACAATCCTGGTAATCTTAAACTCTAATGGAGATCTGACAGCTCATCCATGAGAAAATAGTCCATTTGTGGCCATTGCGTACCAGATAAACCATAGGCATGGTGTTAAGCCCTTTTCAAGCTGGCTGCAGCATTCTTTTCCCTGTTCCCTATTATATGCCTATTATTTCTTCAGGAATCTCAAGAGTTTTCCAGGCTCTCACCTGTAGTGAGTGGTCATCTCTCATTATCCATAACAGCCAAACCTCAATCTTCAGCAGTAAGTTCATTCCTGCCCTACCCTCTTACTTCCTAGCTATTCTTCTAAACTAATATTGTGACACGAAGTCATGCCTTGAGGCTGAAGTTTTAGCGCCTGCATGGCCCTGGGCAAGTTGGAAATAGTAGCTACTATGCTTTCACAGACCTAGCGCAGTCTGCTTTATAGCTGTGTCAAGACTCAGGCCACTTGATGGCAGGACTTGTATTTAGCAGCACTGCTCCATAAATTTCTGTGTAAGAAACACGAGTGAAAGATTCTTGTGAAGTGCAGGTACAAGTCATGATAAAAATAAGAGCAGTGGGTTTTTTTTTTTTTTTTTTATGGAGACAGTCTTTGCTGTGTCACTCTGGGTAGAGTGCAGTGGTGTCATCATCGCTCATAGCAACCCCAAACTCCTGGGCTCAAGCGATCCTCCTGCCTCAGCCTCCTGAGTAGCTGGGACTACAGGCATGCCACGGTGCCTGGCTAATGTTTCTATTTTTTAGTAGAGATGGGGTCTCGCTCTTGTTCAGGCTGGTCTCCAGCTCCTGAGCCCAAGCAATCTTCCCACCTTAGCCTCCCAGAGTGCTAGGATTTATAAGTGTGAGCCACCATGCCCGGCCCAAGAAGAGGAGTTTTAATGCATGGGAGGGGAGAAGTAGTGATACTCTTAGTTTGGAAAGTGGTTACTAATGATGAATTATGAAGACTTCCTTTAATTACTATATACATAGGAGGGGGAAGGAAACCGTTCCTGATTAACCTCAGGGCTTAATTAGGAAATGCCCTTTATTTCAGCAGGAAACAGAGGAAGAAGGGATTAGGCAGATTTGGATGATTGCCAGCTAGGACTGAGGAACTTTTGTCAGTTGCCTCTGTAGGCAGGGAAAATGCATAGCTGTTGCCTGCAGTATGTTGCTTTTAGTGATAAAGACACCTGTGACAATCCTTTCGCTTCTCAGCTTTTCATTGACTGTGTCATTTGTGATCTAAAAGTAAACCAAACCCTTTCAGAATGTTAGCCTCTTTCTTTCCTTCCCTCCTTCCTCCCCCCTCTCTCCCTCCTTCCCTTTTTCTTTTCTTTTTTTTTTTTTTGAGATAGGGTCTCTGTTGCCTGGGCTGGAGTGCAGTGGCATCATCATAGCTCACTGCAACTTCAAACTCCTGGGCTCAAGCAATCCTCCTGCCTCAGCCTCCCAAGTAGCTGGGATTATAGGTGCATGCCACCATGCCTAGCTAACTTTTCTATTTTTTGTAGAGATGGGGGTCTTGCTCTTGCTCAAGCTGGTCTCAAACTCCCAGCTTCATGCAGTTCTCCCGCCTCGGCCTCCCAAAATTGAGGATTACAGGTGTGAGCCACTGCACCTGGCCAGCTTATTACTTTCTCCCTAACATTGTCATGGGCTAAGGATATTCCCCCCAGACAAATTCTAATTCTCACATTGTGGCAGCAAGTTATCTATTTTGAAGTGCTGTTGTATTTTATTAGCTCACCTTTATAAATCTCTTAATGTGCAAAGTAGGTATTACTTTGCAAGTTTTGTATTTTTCCAAGGATTCACAGAATCATCCCTTGAAGTTGCAGCTCCTTAAGTGGCATTTGTTTACAGCTGTCACAACACACTAGCTCCTGGAGTTAAGCAAGAGCTATAATGTGACTTGGAGGATGGATAGATAACTGCAGCCTGCTAATATGTTGTCATTGTGATGCTGAGCTTATGCTAGAACTGGCTAGAGAGGGAGGAGAGTAGCAGTGAGTCATGACCGGCATCTGACTTAGGGCAGGCAGATATTCCAGACCACATAAGCTTTCAGTTTACCTAAAAATTGGCCAATACTAGGTTCTGTTTTCTGATCCCAATATAAATTTTTAAAAATTATGTAAGTTGCCTAGGCTCTCAGTGAGGCAGTTTGGGGATAGGAAGTGGTTTCCACCAGCAAGGAGAGAGGATTGAAAGAGAAGCACACCTTTTGCTCTGAGCATCCTTTACCTTATCCATGGCTTTTGGAATCTTGCTCATCTTTGGAACCTTAACTTTTGCTTGCCACCATTTCCATTTCAAGATCTTTCTGATTTTTCTCTTTCTAAAGCTCAGTATAGCCATGCATGGTGGGTCATAACTCTAATCCTAGCACTTTGGGAGTCTGAGGCTGGAGGATTGCTTGAGCCCAGGACTTTGAGGTTGCTGTGTGCTATGATGACACCACTGCAATCTAGCCTGGTGACAGAGCTAGACTCCGTCTCCAAAAAAAAAAAAAAAACCAGTATGTATTCAGGTAGGAAGGAATCAACCAAATAAATATTCTCCCTACAAAGTTGTTTGAGCATTTAAAAAAATAATCTTCAGTTATCTGATTTGTGTAACTGATTTCCAGTGAAGAAAGAAGTAGAGAAAAAGGGAGACAATTTCAAGTAAAGGGAAAGCTTATGAGATGGTTGAATCCCTGAAGTATGGTCCTGGCTTCTCTTACTTTGTAGGAAACAAAAGACATGGTTTCCCTCTTTGTAGCTTTTGGTGTAGTTCAGGAGACAAAGCATAAATATTGCTAGGAAGGAGTGAATAATTTTAATAAAAATATTCCTGGACAGAGCAAGGTTAATGAGCAAATGGGGGCTACAGGGCTGGAAGAGTCTAGGGAAGATTCTGTGAAATGAATTTGGTTTCAGAAGTCAAGTTGGATTTGGTTGGGGGTGGAGGGAGTGCCAAGGGAAGGAGGAAAGCCGTGCTAGGTCTAGAACTAGCAGCAGAGAAGGTCGGGTATCGGTAGATTTCCCAGAGAATATAGACTGGAAAGAGAAATTAGGGCCAGATCGGCGATAGTACTTTGACACTCTAGGAACTAGAGTGTTTCATTAGAGTATTCATCAGACCCGCATCACGAAGGGCAGTTTTTGAGCATTTGAACTAAACCTTTCTTGGTGTTGAACTGATTTCTTTTGAATGCTGGGGGTTTTAAAACTAGAGTCCTCATAACTTAATGTTGTTTACCATTAAACATCACTATCTCCAATGGGTAAAGGGAACGAGTAAGAACTAGATGTGCCTATCAAGATGAGGTATGGTGTAAGCAGTAGTTTAGAACATGTCCCTTGGCCCAAGATTGAGCTATTTGGACACACAAGCAGGATTTGGTGAATGTTACCCTTCCTGCTGAGCTGTCGGTGGAGAAGAGCATTGTTGGTGGCGTAAAGTTGTTGAAGGAGCTCTTGCTTGATATATTTCCAATGTGGGATTTAGTTTGAGTGACAGTTGGTGAATTCACGGGTGACATACTTACTGCCTTGCGGTATTATACACTGTCGGCTACCTCTGGTCTGTGCGTCAGCATTGAGAGAGGCATTTTGTGGGAGAAATGTAGTTGCTGATGACAGTGTCTGCTTCCACATCTGTACTTTTCGTGACCTTTTAACATCTCTCAACTTTAAATTTTCAGAAAGTATGTACTGAACACCTGGCTTGCCATATGCCACCCTCCGGTTCCGCACTGAGGGTCAGCTTATTTCATAAAAGTGCTTCACTTTTAATACCTCCCACCCATTTGGTGAAAATTTGTATTTCTCCTTTCTGTCCTGAGTATGCCACTTCACAACCTCTCTTACCTGCTTCGATCGCTTTGCAAATTTTTCTGTCCCAAGAAGCTTACTGAAAAGGGGTGGGAATGCAGAGGTTTTCAGCGTAGCTTTTTTGGGGGGTGGGGGGAGTAGGGGTGAGTAGAGCCTAGCTCCTCCTCCTTCCTATTCCCCACTCCACCCTGTGCATCCTGACATTGCCTGCATATGCCTTGCCTGAAAGAAAAAGGCTTCGGATGAGAGAATGAGAGAACACCTCGGTGAACAAGGAAGATCTGGTCCAGAGCCTCCGTTGAATGTGACAGAAGTGTGGACCTGGACTAGCAACTGTCTCCCATGTAAGTCACAGCTGCTGTCTCAGGGTCAGAAGTGAAACTTCCCCTACCTTGTATTGCTGGTGGTCTGACTCATGAAGACTGCCAGGGACAGGATGGCCCCCACCCCCAGGACAGTTTGCCTTTCCCAGTTAACTCTGTGCCCAGTCTGTTGCTATCTTTCACAGCTTGAAAATCCTTCCTTGACCTGAGCTAGGCTTTTATTTATGGGCCTGACTATGGGAACATCCCCACCATCTACATTCTTCTCTGTTTTAAAACTCCCTGCCATTTGAGTAAATGAAGTTAGGGCTCTTTTCAGATGCCCGCTGCCAGTTGTGGACAAGAAGACCAGTAAAGTTCTGTTAGCTGCTCTGGACCATTAGAGAGCTCAAAAGCTTGAGTTTAAAAAAAAGAAATAAAGCCTACTGGGTAATTTGAGATTTGGAACAAGAAGGTGATTGTAATAGTTGTGATTAGGGGAGTTAATACAACCAGGGTCTGCTTGGGTGGGCAGCTCTGTTTCAAAGACCCTTAGTAAACTCTTAAAGCCCTGAAGAGCTTTAAGAAAGCTCTAAAGAGACCTGAGAGTCATCGCTAAAGCTGCCTTCCTAAACTTCAAAGAAAAGCCAACTTAGCTTTTAATGTAATTAGTTTTGAGTCTTTAATTCTTCTACTTTGATATATAGGCCTGGCAAGTAGGAGTTGGACATGGCCTTGTTACCCTTGCCCCTTCTGTTCTGTGTTTGTTTTCCTAGAAATGGATGTAAACAACCAGAGTGTAACATGAATATAAACAGTTGATGTAAAGAACCATTCTGATTCCATCTACTTGTGGCCTTCCTAGCCAGGCTTACCATACCCTGTGTAGAGCAAGGCAGCCGTGCTTCTGCGTCAGCTTAGGCCGCCACAGCCAAGAGGAACTTGAGATCGTAGGAGCCATTCAAAAGATAGCTGCATGTCAGAAGAGAGCCTAGCCACAGGGCTCTTGAGAAAGGAAACACCTTCAAATGGAGACATGGGAAGGCCCTGCTGTCTTGCTGGGCTGAGGCCTCCCCGTGTACACTGAGAACAGGCTGGGGAGCAGCACGGGCGGGTGGGGAGGAGGGATCAAGATCTGTATTTCAAGCAAATTGAAAGTCGACCAGTTGTCTGGGAATGTATAAGGGAGCCTGGCGTATCTATCCTGTGATGTCTCAGAAAATAGGGTTTGTTCTTTGCTGGCGGCGAGGGGGCTTGGTGTGGTATTTGAAGTTGAACTTGAGGTTGCAATCTTGTCACCCTCTGGCCTCATAGGAATGTGCCAGTGTGATTTGGGAGGATTTGAATTTCCTTTTTGAAGTAGGTGTGTTTTGTTTCTTAAAGGCTGGTCTGATTTAAACAAAGTTGCCAAGTACCCCTCTCTACTTTCACATTCAGAGGGCGCCTTGTTCTCGTCCCTGGTGTACTCTAACGGAGACACCGAATCAGATGCAGCAATCCGGTCTTGCATAGGCCCCGACTAGAATGTAGTCTTTTTAAACCAGGTCGCCAGAGCAGAACTCTTTTAAATGGGCCAGATGTCAAGAATGGCTGGTGTCCTCCAGCACCCTCCCAGGAAGAAGCACATCTGGGGTTTCAACCTGTGGTGGCCTACTTTAAATAGGCGCTACTCTGCAAGATGAATGTATTTATAAATATTTTTAAACATAAAATACTTGGATGTGGTAGAAATTGCCATGTAAAAAGTAGGTTGTGGATTTCTCAAACATCAGAGGTCTTGTGTGAAATTATTAAAAATACTTCCTAAGACTGTCTTAGCAGATAGTCTTGAGGGGGTAAGGGTGCTATCAAAATATCCTTTATTTATGTTGGGATCTGGATTTTAATTTTGAAAAAATATTCTTTAGGATTTTATGGCGATACCAGGTTATAAAAGACTCTTGATTTCTTTGAAATAAGACATAACATTTGTGGAATGTTTTGTCTTTTCTCTCTGCCCTCAGAGGATAATGGAGCCTTGTGGCCATGTGTACCTATTTCAGGTTGGATTGTCTTCTCAAGATTTATGGATGGCAGTTTCCAATCATTTATTCTCAAGAGCACTGGGAAGCAGGCTGGCCTGCATCAGTTATGCGGTCAGATGATTGGGGGGTTAAGAGCAAGGCTTGAATGGGAGTATGGGCCCAACTCTCAGGGGTGGGGCATGGCCCCAAGCCCCTTTAGGGGAGGTGACAAAGATTAATCTCTGGCTTCTGCAAGTTGGAAGTTTTGGAACACGTGTACCCTAATAGGGAGTAAACTCCAAGTGTCGTGACTGCAGAAAAGAAAAGTGTGTCATGCTCTGTTGCTGAAACAGCTTATTCCTCAGGGTCAGGCTTTGAAAAACAAACCCAGTAAAAAGTATCTTTATTCTCATGTTTAAAAAAGTTTTTCTATGATGATTAACAATACAAAAATACTTTAACACTACAATGGTCCTTGTTTGTCAAGATTTCTTGCAACGTTAGACTAGAGTATGTGATCTTTGGATTCTGGGACACCAGTGGCCACAGTAGGAACTAAAGGCTTTCTTGAGGGATGTGTGCGAGTACACAACCCTTTTTCTTTGGATTCAGGCTCTGTACAGTAAAGAGGTGGCAGAAAACAAAGTTAAACTTGTTTTTCAAGGCTCAGGGTTGAAGCTTGGCTCAAAAATAGGTTAAAGTAGGCTGTGGTGAAAACCTGTTCACCACCACTAGAGGTTTTCTGGGCTCCTCTAGTTGTAACGCTCTTCCTTCCTGCAGTCGCACAGGGAAACTGAAGCCAGCCTGGTTTGAATGTCGGAAGACAGGCTCTAGCCTGAGGTTTGGGGTTTGCCCTCTCTTGCAGCTGCCTGAGAGCTGGCTCGGCTGCCATGGGTGAGCTGGAAATGCAACTGTGAAGTCTCAGGCAATGAGGCGGGATGCACACTAGATTGGGGCCATGACTATTTTCACCTGTTGACTGTAGCTGCTACTGACAAGCCTGAGGCCTTGGTATCAGGGCTTCTTAGGCTGATGAGTTTCTCAGGAAACATTTCCAAGTAATTTCAACTAGAGCCAGACCCCCCCCCCCCCCGCTTCACCCACACTTGCTTCACAGGGTAGTGTCAGGTCATTCCTGTTGCCTAGGTTGCTGGGCCTAAACTTATTAACCTATTGCATTCCTCACCCCAGCGTCTTGCAAGCGCCTCAGAACATGGTAAGAGGCTTATGAATAGCAGCTGGTTCTCTGTAGAGCTCTGGTTCTCTCCAGAGCTTCTCCATTCCGTTAAGAGAGAAGCACTGTCACCTTGAGCTTTCTGGTTGTGACCATGCTCACCTGTTGTCTGAAGTGTCTGGTAAGGGGAGGTGTGGCAGTGGGAGATAGGGAAGGCAGGGGCAGAGAAGGTGGCTTGGGCTTAGTCTAGCCCCTCTATGACCTGTAGCAGAAAAGCAAGGAGGCAGAGGCTTCTGGCCAGTAAGACAGATGGTAAAAACAGATGCAGGCTGCCACAGGTACAAGAGATGCCCTTAATGAGATGACACGTCAACACAGGTCTGATCCCCACCACTCAGAGCATTCTGAATTGATGGCCTCAGGTTCAGGCAGAAGTTGTGCAGCCTCTGAAATCTTCAGGGTCTGGACACTGAGATGCAGTCAACAGGACCCCTAGCTGGTTTCCACGTTTGGAGCTCTGTTGCTTCCTCCTGGGTGGTGGGCCCCTGGAGGAAGCCAGCTGTCCTGTGCCTGCTAGGCTGCCTGTCTCTGAGATTCTTGTTGCTGTGCCTGTGTACTCTGCAGGGCGCTGCAGGGCACCTGTGGGGACACCGGGGCGGGGAGGCTGAGAGCAGTAGATAGACCTGGGGATGTAGGTGCCAGCTCTGCAGGGCTAGCAAACAGTTCTGTGGGCACGCGGGGCAGCAGAAGATATGAGGGCAAGTCCTGGGGAGCTGGGGACCCAAGGCAGCCTAGAGCACTGTCATCGGAAGGAATGGGGCTGGGGCAGCGGCCTTCTCCGGGTAAGTACCGAATGCATTTCTTTTTCCTCCTAGGAATAGTGAAGAGAGTTATCTGTAAACAGAGGGTGAATTCATAGTCATACACCACAACCAAAAACTTCTGTCTTTGCACAGGCCGGCTGAGCTTACCACCCCCTCCCCATGACTGGGGTGATATGTCAATGCCCCCTGACCTGAATCAACACTGCTTAGACTATGCATGGCCCGGCCCAGACCTAGTGCGAGTGCAGTTCCCAGAACAGCCACAGGATGGCTCAGGGACCTTTTGGTTTCCACAGGAGCCATCTCCCAGCCCCGGCCTTCGAGCTGCTGCACGTGTGTCTGTGGCGCTCGTATCTGCATTAAGGCAGGGCTGCAGGGCCTGTGGCTTCGGTGCTGAGCAGTCCCAGTCCTCAGAGCTGGGATGGGGGAAGAAGTGGTGAACAGTGTACTTTTCTCCGGTGTTACCAGACTAGAGTTCTCTGAGTAGCATGGAATGGAGGGAACAGGCCCTCCTCCGAGAACAGGGTTGTTTCCCACTGTGCATGCACATGTGGGCATCCCCCGCCCCTGCCAATATTCCTCTTTGCCCTTGGACAGGGAATGTGGGATACACTGAGGGGCTGGACAGGTGTTCCTTAGAGCCAGTGACCTTACTGCCTGGAGTACCCTTGGTCTTGGCTCTGCCAGGCCTGGCTTAAACCTAAATGAGGCAATTCGAACCACTGGGTGAGTAAATCTTTTCATGCCCACAAGTATTTCTCTGTTGTATGATGGAACACACAGGCTCAGTGCCACAGGGCCCTTAGCCAGCCCAGTGGTACCCCTGGTCCTCTCCAGCCCTCTGGTCTCAGTAGGTACAAGACAGCACGTCACGAGGCTGCCTGGCAACCAGGTTATTCAGGTAGTTCGTCAGTTTGTTTTTCTCAGATGTAAGGGCTCAGGGTGGTATAGGCAGGGACCCTATAGGCAGAAGCAAGGTGGCTAGTCAGGGTGGTGTGTGAGAGATTTGTCTGTTGAGGACCAGCTAGGCCTGGCCAGCACTAGAGCCACCTCCTTGAGTCTGCCTTTTAGAACATTCTCTTTTCCTCCCCTCCTCCTCCCACTTAGACCCAAGTGATCTCCACAATCTGTGTTCAGTGTTTACTTCCATTCTTAGTGGGTACGGGTTCCCCACTCTGGGTATGCTAGGGGGCTGAGGGGCCAAAGGAGTGGGCTGCAGGCCCAGCAGAACATGTACAGAGTCAGGGAAGCAGCTTGAAGCAAAAGGAGAATGATGGTGGGGACAAACCCACCTGCACGGACCACACCAATCCGTCTGCTGGTTGAGGCCAAAGCGAGCACGGCATTTCTTAGGCGAGCCAGGGTCTGTGCACAGGCATGCCAGAGGGGCATGAGCAGGGCAGAGGGCGAGCAGGCAGGCAGCAGGGCAGAGCAGGGCCCAGAAAGAAGAGGTAACATCAATGTTAGCCAGTTACAGATACCCCACAGCCCCCACAGGCAGAGTGGGCGTCTCCATGGCACAGCCAGCCCAAGAGCCCAGAGCAAGGTATCAGTAAAGGTGAGTACCCAGCTGGGCAGTGGGAAGGATGGTGGGGTGGGGAGGGGGCTCCTTACAGCACGTCGAGGCTGCAGAAGGGCCCAGGGAAGCCCATGAGGATCCAGTCTCTTCTGCCTTAGGGGTGCCCATTCCCCTCTCCAACTCCCTACCCATTTTATCCAGCTTTTCTTCATTCTTGCCAATGCCCAATCTGGCTGACCCATATTCCCTCAAGGGATAGGGCTAAGACCATAGTTTATGCCTGTCCTACACATTTCCAGATGGCAAGGGCCCATTCCTCACCTCAGAACAGGCTGGGGACTCTGCTCTGTCCTGTCCCTGTCCTATCCTCCAGCTTCCCTGTGTTAGGGCGGCACAGCTGAATGGATATGGAATCTGAGTTATCAGAGTTGGCAGGAATTCACCCACAGGAAGGAGGCCTGCAGCAGGGTGTTAGACCTCCTCTCCATAGAGCACTCTGCATGGCTATGAAAAATGGGGGTGGGAGGGGGACAAGTTGCCAGGCTTCAGCCAGCAGGCTGCGTGACTGCTGGGCCTAGGCATGGGGCCTGACTCAGCCTGTACTGGAAAGCCTGCTCCTGGTCCCAGCAGAACCAGCCAGGATGTGTTGTTGGGGTTGAGCATTGACCTGTACAGGCCGTTCCTCGCTAGCTTCCCTGGGGGAGGCTGGCTGCGAGCAGGGCTAGCGAGGGTGGGGGGTGGGGGCCAGGGCAGGGGAACATACCGCCTGCTACATGAACTGGCTTCCGCTGGGCTTCCCTGGGACTTAGTATAGCTGTTTCTTGCATGGGGCTTTGACTTGTGAGATGCAAGCCTTGTTTCCAGAGGGCCTAGGCCCTAAAGGCTCCTGGGCTGCCTCTCCCTCTGGGCCAGAGCAGGGCTGCTCTTGAAATGAGGGCATGGAGGAGAACCTGCTACTGCCGAGGAAGGCCTCACCTGTGGTGGATTCTTGGTGCTTTTCCCGCGACCGCCTTTTCTTCTTCCCCTGCAGGGAACAAAAGGAGGGATGCTCAGATCTGGGAGGTGGACACTAGGATATGTGTGGCCTGCTTCTTAGCCTGGCTGGAAGCCAGTTCATGTAGCAGGCGGTATGTTCCCCTGCCCTGGCCCCCACCCCCCACCCTCGCTAGCCCTGCTCGCAGCCAGCCTCCCCCAGGGAAGCTAGCGAGGAACGGCCTGTACAGGTCAATGCTCAACCCCAACAACACATCCTATAGACCCCTCCTACTGTCAGGCCCTGGTGTTCTTTGATTGTAGTTGTTGCCAGGCTGCTGTGGGGTGCATTTTAGGGGCTCCTCCCTCTCCCAATCTGGTCTCCAATTTGAATGAAGGGAGATGACTTCCAAGCCCCTCCTCCCCTTCTGCTCACGTAGCCCAAATACTGGGCAGCAGCCCCTCAGGTGTGAGTGCCTTATGGAGTGAAGAACAGGATGCGGGCTTGCCTTCAGGGGGCCGTTCCTCAGGCGTGGCCTTTCCTGAGCAAGCCACAGGAGGCCTTGGACCCTCCATGTCCTTCCTCATCTGTGCCGTCAAGACAGTTCTGCCTTCCCTGCTGAGGTTGTGCCCTGGCACATGTCATCTCAAAGGTTCCCCTACCCACCCCTGCTGTGTGTCACTGGCCACTCACGTAGTTGTCCCGTGCCGACCAGCCTGGGTACAGCTGCATGTGCAGCTGCCTTTCCTTGCGGGCCAGCTCATAGTACTTGGCCTGCTCTTCTCGCGACAGCGCGTGCCACTGCAGTAGAGAAGGAGGGTAGATGGGTGCGTCAGGGAGTCAGCAGGTTGCACCGGGGTGAAGGAGGTCAGGGGCCATCCGTGCCAGCCCACTTGCCCATGGCCTTACCCTGCGGCCCAGGATCTGATTGATGGCGGCGCTCTCCTTAAGCGTACACTCTGCAATGACCTTGGCTCTCATCTCCTTCATGTACAGCATGAAGGCATTGAGGGGCTTCTTGATGGTTGGCTTCTTGGCCTCCTTCTCCGCCTTGGACTCTGCCTGTGTCTTCCTGAGGGGCACATATCCAGATAGCTAAGGAGCGCCCCCCACCCAGTGCCCACCTAATGGCACCACCCTCCTCTAGTGTGGGTCCAGTGTGTGCCTGAGTATATGACACTAGGGTTTGGTAAATGGAGTCTTTCTTAGCTGCCCCAAAATGGGTGAGCAGAGAGCTAAGGAACTGTTCCTGTTGGGAATACCAGCGCCAAGTGGGAAAAACGTGTCAAGTTCTTCTCAGCCCCTCCCTTCTTGGCTCAAACAAAATCCTTGTTCCCTAAGCACCTCCTTCTGAGGATCAAAACACACAGCAGTCAGTAGCCAGAGCCACAAGACAGCTTGGCCAGGGGCCTCCCGGCAGTCCTTGGGGCTGGTGGGAGGTGTGTGTATCCTGGCCAACAGCGGGTCTGCTCACCTGCCCATCCCATCCTTGCTCCCTCCCCCGAGCATCTGCCTTCTCACTCACAGGCTGCGGTCATAAGGCTGCAGCTCCTGCTTCCCTGAGGGCGGCACAATGGCCGGGTGGGGGATGGCTGCGGGGTGACCGGGTACGCTGGAGCCGAGCATCAAGGACGGGTGGGTGAACCTAAAGGCAAGAGAAGAGTTGACGCTGAGCCAGGAATTACAGGCCAGACCTTTGCACACACAGAGGCCCCTGCATGGTACACGAGGACACAGGCGAACAGATACGCCACCCCCATTGGCCTGGACACAAGTACACAGATAAATGCAAATACCTGCTTCCAATACACTGCATAGACACACTGCAGAAATCTACATGGATGCCATTTAGGTGGTTGCTAATTAAGTCCCAGGTAGCTTTTGAATCTGTCCCCTTCTCACATCCTGCCCTCACTGACCCAGCCTTAGGAGCCTGTGGCTGCCTTGTGGGCCTCCTCACACCCCTGCCTGACCCCTCCAGGCCTCCACACGATAGCCAGAGTGACTTTGACAACACCTGAACGAGTGCTCCTGGCCTGCTCTTGCTGAAAGTTGCCCACTGCCCGCAGAATAAAACCCAGGCTCCTCCCTGGGACCTGCACGGCCTGCGTAAGCATCCCTGCTGCCACGTCTAGCCCCATCGCTTCCCCTCTGCTTCCCGGCAATCCCCACTCCCAGCCAGCCTCAGTCACTGCTGCTCCCTTTGTTCTCTCAGAACATACTACCCTCTCCCTGACCCATCGGGCCTGGCTGGGTCTCCTTGGGGTTTCCCCATCACCCAGCTGGCCCGTTCAGCTGCTGCCGCCGCTGTGCCTATACCTCCTGCCCTTGGCTGAGAGTTCCAGCTGGGCTGGAAACGTCTGCTCACTCCCTTGCCGCTGCGTGCCTGGTGCGGGTTCTGTCAGCGAGGAGGGAGCCAGGTGAAAGGACACGGGCATGCACACTTCCCCCGCCACCGTCTTGCTGTTCTCTGGAGACCACTCTGCTCCTTACTGCTCACACAGGGCCGCCCCTGAAGGCCAGAGGTTGGGCATGCTCATGTGAAAGATGCTGCCTCAGCTTGGGCAGAGCTCAGGGGATGCCCAGGACAGGCCTGAGCCCCTCTTCCCCCAGCAGGGCTGCGGAACAGTGGACGCACACGGCTCTGCACAGTGTGGCCTGGGCTGAAGCCTCCTGCGCTCCCGCTAGCTTTGCTCTCAGGCACAGGGGGCTACAGAATGACAGACGGACAGATGGACAAAAGACTAACACAGGGCAAGCACTGGCCTGGGCAGGGCCTTGTGTGGGCACTGAAGCCTGGGCAACAGGAAGCAGGAGCCTGGCTGCAGGGCTGGGGACTCACCTGGGGTAGGGGGCGCCAGGGGCTGCAGTGGGGGCAGGGAAGTGCTGTCTATATCCGCAGGAAGGGGACAAGGGGTAGAGAGGAGGGCTGGGCCTGTGGTTGGGAGAGACAGCTGTTAGCAGTCTGGCTGCTGGCCAGACGTGGGGAAGGACTTCCCCCACTTGGCTTGGCCTGACCTGACCTGACCCACAGTGAGACAGATGGGTCTGTGCTGGGACCACTCCAGCGTGTGTTCTGAGGATCTGCCACCACCAGGGGGTAACCTGTGGCTGCACCTGTTTCGCTCTATAGGCTCGTGTTGGTGCTTAGGGGACGGAAAGGGCAGCTTTCTCCCAGGACCCAGCTCGGCAGGCCCCCAGAGCCCTCGAGCCTGCCTCCTAAGTTTCCTTGACCATACACGGCTGACACCTGTCCTAGGGCCTTTGTACCCACTGTTTGGTTTTCTTTCCCCCCTTTCTCTGTCTCAGCTGCTTCAATCAGAAAGTGCACCCACTGTTGACACTGGAGTGTTCTTCTGCCCCACTTTGCTTCAACTTCTGTTCATTCAGGTCTTGCTTGGCTAAGTGACAGTTTCTCCAGAAAGCCCTGAGATCCCCAAGCTGAATGAGGTGCCTCTCTGGGCTCCTACAGTCCCCAGTCAAAGCACTGCTAACAGGGCTAACAGTGCCCTGTAACTGTCTGGCTTCTTGCCTGGGTCGCGCCCTAGGTGGGCTGAGTTTTGAGAGGGCAGGGAACTAAGTATCAGTCAGCTTAAGCAGCGCTTCCCCAGTGCCCAGAACCCTGCCTGCCACACAGCAGGGCTCGGTGCATGGGGGCTAGAATAACCCCCCTTTTCTTCTCGCAGCCAGGCGCTACCTGGTGGGAGCAGAGAGCACGGGGTTCCTGAAGTCCCCTCCTGAGAGCCTCAGTAGGGAAGCGTTTGCTCTAGTCTCAGATCTTTTGGTCTGCAGAGCTTCTGGCGTACGGGATGCTTTTGACAGGCCAGCAGAGATTTGTGTCTACAGAACTCTGGTCTAGCCCCGTTAGGCTGGGCTCTGAGCACTGTCTCCCCACTTTGATCCTGGGGGTACTCATGGGGGTAGTCCTAATCTGTATTCCGAAGGGAGCTTTGTCCTAGGAGAATCTGAAAACAGAGGAGTGTACTGAACAAAAGGGGAGTGGCAGGCGGGCCTTTGGCTTGCTCTACCTCCGTGGGAAGCCAGGTTTTCTTGCTGGTGGGTGACTGCCCCGGCCCAGAGAAGCTGGAGACCTGTGCAGGTCACACTGCAGGCGACTAAAGGGCCAAGCAGCCTGCCGAGGCCCAGCTCCAGCGGAGGATGAGCCCTCTGACCCACAGTCAAGCTACTGACTCGAGGATCCAGGCTGCCTTTTCCTGGCCCAGCCTTAGTAGACTCTCCAAGCAAGCTGGCCAGGGGCCTGGGTTCAAGCAGGCACTGTAGGGAACTCCTCAAGCAACTCAGCCAGGAAAGGACCAGCGAGCAGCAGGCACTAAGGCCAGTGGGAAGTATTCCCCTGCCTACCCGGCAGCTGAGAAGCAGCAGCCTCTCTGGTGGCCACTGATGCCGTTACTTCCCTGCTAAGGCCTACCTCTTCTTCCTCACACACTTATGGCTCTGGAGGTCCCTGAACAGCCCAGAGTTCTCCCATCCAAGGGGGCCAGGAGACCACGTCTCTTGGCCACTGAGGAGAGTTCGGCTGTGGCGGGGCTGGGACCAGGAGCCTGCTCTTACCTCCACAAAGGGCGTGTATCAAGCTACCTGGGGAAGGCCCACAGGGGCCATGAGGACCCCTAGCTCAGAGCCAGGTTGGGACAGAGCTGCCGGTCAGCCCCTGGTGTCTGTGCAGAGCTGGCAGTGGGGTGCTTGGTATGGAAGGACAGAGGAGGAGGATGAAGGGCAGGTCGGCTAGTGCACAGTGTCCGCTCCCCACCGGGCCGCACTCACCAGCTCACGGTGTGGGGCAGTTGTCCCATGCTGCCTGAGGTCAGAGAGTAGAAGCCAGAGAGGTCAGGGGTCTGCAGAGGTCTGTGAACTCCTGCAGGGGAGAGAGGCCAAGTAAGTGGGCGGGCCTGACCTGGCGAGCCGCTTCCTCAGTTCCTGCATCCTAGAGCCCCGCACAGGGACCTTAAGAGCCCCCCTCCTGTTGCAAGGACCAGACCCAGACCGGTTACTCAGGACCATCTCAGTGTGATAATATCCCCCTTTGACAGGTAAGGGAGCCCAGGGCAGAGGAGTGGGTGAGTTGCCTAAGGGCACAGGCTGGCCAGCAGGCAGAGCTGAAGTCACTCCGGAGTGGCAGACCAGGCCTTGCCACTTCCTGGTCCGCTGCTGGTCTGTGACTGGGGCCTCCCTGCTGGGGGCACAGCCTGGTAGGGCAGCCTGGCCTGGGGAGCCAGGGTTCCACCTGCCCCCCAGGGGTGAAGTCAGCAGGTTTCCCACAGCTGACAGTGGCGGATTTCAGAATGACTTTGCCCGAGACTGAGGTGAATCAGCCATCACAACCACCACTTTCCATTTTCTCGGTGGGGGAGGGAAAGGCTGCAGTTTCACGGTTATCAGCAGCGCACAGCCGCCGGGCAGTAAGGGCCACCCACGGGATTTCGGCCCCTGCCTCGACCTCAAGCTTCAAAGTTTGACCAGGCACCACTTCCCCCAGTCCTCCGGTACCCTCACAGCCCCCTAGTCCATCTTTCTGGTATTTTCTTTGGGCCCTGGGTTTGCACAGCCCCAGGTTCTCTGGTTATAAAATGGACCCTGCTACCTGGTCTTAGCAGCCAGGGACTTGGCCCTCAGGCTCAGGACTCGTCGGGCCCCTCCCCATCCCAGGCTCGTACCTTGCTTCTGGCTGATGTCCGCAGGTGCAGGTGTGGGGTGTGGGCTGCTGAAATGTTCGTAGAGAGGAGAGAGTTGGGGGACACCATGGGGGGACTGACTGGCCTTGCTGTGCTGAAAAATGAGAAGGAGGGTGGGTGAACGTGGGGAGTCCTGAAGGAGGATGGCAGGGGGCGGGGCATGCAAATGGGCAGAGTCCCAGTGAGCTGTGTGGGCGACCCAGCTGTCAAAGAAAAGTGGTGGTGGTCAGACCCACAGGCCTCAGGGAAGGGGTACCGCTCAAGCCACCCTGTGTCCAGTGGCCCTGTCCTGCCCCCTACCCCCCTAGTCTCTGCCCAAGTAGCCCCACCTCCGAGAGCGCCTCTTGGTCTTCCTGGGCACTCAGTTCCAGGAGGTGCCTCTCCCCTGTCCAGGAAGCCCTTCCTGGCCCCCTGATCTCTGCCATCCCCTAGTTTCTCTGAGAACTGACAGGCTGGCTGGGGGCCGGGTGTTGCTCGTGGCCTCCACTCCCTGGTCCCAGGGCAGGGGCTGAGGACTTGGCTTAGCGCGGACAGCCTGGAGCTCTTCCCTCCTCCTCAAGCCCCCAGACTGGGGGTACTGAGTCTGACCCTGTCCCATCTCCGGCCTAACAGGACGTGCTGACACAGGGAAGGGCTCCCTCCGTCCCCTCACTCAGGGGAGGTGGGGCCGAGTGGGGCCTGGCTCCCTCCAGGGCCGACCTGCCCAGCCCCCACACTTCCTGTTCCCTCAGCACCGCAAGACTCTTACTTTTCACACCAGTCGCAGGGCTCTGTCATGAGATGACTCAGTGGGCAGGCTGGGAAGGGGCCCCCACACAGCCGGCCGCAGGGAGCCACTGCCAGGGCCAAGGCCCAGCTCCCCGGCACTCTCGGCACACACGCGCACAGGCCACAGCCCTGGAGACGCCGCCCACACCCGAGGCCCAGCTGCCCGCTCCAAAAGTCCGTGTGGGAGTGCGTGTGGGAGTGCCGCTGGCTGGGAGCACAGATACGAGATCTCTGACCCACGGCACGGACAAAACGGGGGACATCCTGGGGGCAAGACAGTAACGAAAGGTTGCGGCCTCGGCTCCTCCCCACTCTGGTGACATTCCCCACTGGTGAATTGAGCCAGACTTGTGAAGATCTTCTGGTAATGCATGGGGTTCGCGATCCCTTCACCTCCAGGTCTGGGGAAGGGCAGGGTAGCTCGTGGTGAGGTGGCCGGGCACAGGTCCCTTGGCGCTTGGCCGTTAGGGGTCCCCGGTGAGGCTAAAGGGAAGGCTGGGTGTGAGTCTCACTGCAGCCAAGGCACGAAGCTTCCGCCTGGGCACAGGCTCTTACCTCCCAGCAACGGCCCTGGCCTGCCGTGCCCCCGACCCTGCCTAAAGGCTACAGGCTGCGCTCTTCCCCTCGGGTCTTGGGGAAGGTGCTGACACTGCTGCCTGGGCCCCTGTTCACCTGTCTGCCCAGCAGGAGGAGCCTCACAGACAGGGCTGCCCAGGCTTCCTTCTGTGCTCAGGCAGACAGGAGTTGATGTCCTCATAGGTGGCTGGCAAGGGCGAAAGGAGAGGGCCGGGCAGCTGCGGGGTATGTGGACACATGTGAGACCCTCCGGATACCGAGTCCCTGCCACATGCCAGGCGCTGTGCCAAGCACTTCAGCAGCCCGGTCTCGTTCCCGTCAGGGTACCCACAGGCTGCCATCTGCAAATGCTTCCCCAGCCACCAGCTCACGTCTCGCTCCCTTTCACAGAAGCTTCAGCAGACCCGTCCCCATTGCTGCCTCTAGTTCTCAGCTCTCCTTCTCCCTTCAGCCTAGCCAGCCAGTCTCTTGCCCCGTCCCTCTACCGGATGACTCTCGTCAAGGTCCCCAGGGACTTCCACAATCCTGCACTCACTGGTCAATTCTCCGTCATCTTACCCAGCCTCTCCACAGCAGACAACTGATTTCTCCCTCCTCGGAACAGCTTCTTCACTTGGCTTCCAGAGTACCACGCTTGCCTGATTTTTCTCCAACCTCATGGGCCCTCCTTTTCGGCTCTGTTTCTGGTCCCCATCCTCTTCCTCTCACCCAGACTCCCAGCTTTAAACATCTTCATCTGATGACTCCACATTTCCATCCCTCTTCTCCTAGGATCTCCACTTTCCAAATGCCCATTCGCCTCTGCTTAGGAGTCTCACCTTACCCGCCCTCCAGCTCAGTCTATCCAGACCAGAACTTCTGACCTGCCCCAAAGCTTCCTCTCCGTCTTCCTTAGTTAATGGCAACTCCATCTCTGTAGTTGTTCAGACCAAAAACCTGGGGGTCATCCTAACTCTTCTTTCTCACACACCCCATGTCCGATTTGCCAGCAAATCCTAGCGTCCTACCTTCAAAATATATGTAGAATCCCACCATTTCTCCCTTCGTCCTCGTCCCCAGCTCAGCCCAAGCCACCGTCACTGTTCACCTAGGCAACTACAGCCGCCGCCTCCCTGGACTCCTGCTGTTCTCTTGCCCCTCAGACAGTCTTCCATCCAGCAGCCACAGGGATCAGACTGTCACTCCTCTGCCTGAAGCCTCCAGTGGCCTCCCACTGTCTGTCCTGACCTGGTGGCCCCAGCTCCCCGCTCAGCCCAGCCTCTTCTACTCTCCTTGCTCACAACGCCCAGGACTTCCCGTGGATGCCCATCCTCCAGCGTCCTTTTCCATTTACTCCAGCGATAGTTTTTAAGTGTGCCGTGATGGGAGGCAGGTTGGCAAGACCGGCTCTAGGCTTACTGACCTTTTCCCTAGAGGATCCCGGGCCAGCCTCTTCCCTGAGCCTGACGCCGTAAAATGGGGATGAGAATACCAGTCCTGCCCACCTCATTGGCCACAGATGCAAAAGTCCTGCTTTGTCCTAGACTTTTGGGGAGCAGGAGCCCAGGGCCTATTAAGGTAGGAAGTTTCCCAGAAACTCATTACGCCTCTTTATCCCGATAGGTTCCTGGGACAGTGCTAGCCAGACAGCATCAGCCCTGACCAGCCTCGTGGCAGCCGAGGGCAGGGAGCCAAAGCTTCAGGCCCACTCTTTCAGGAACACGGGACCCTGGCAGAAAGTGCTGCACCACTCACCAGCTAAGGGCACGAGTGCCTAGAGCCCCAGCCCAACAGCCGGAACGACACCCTCCACAGGTCCCTCCAGAACCAGGGGGCTTTTGAGTCTAAGCTCTTGCTTCGGAGAAGGCCCAGTCAGCCTTGGCTCTGGCTTTTCGACCCTTGGGACCGACTGGGGGCCTGGCTAGTGGAGTGGGCAGCTCTGACCCTGAGAAGCCTTAGGAGCAGAGCCCGGGAGCCAAGGTGCCAGCGCTAGGAAGGCAGTCCTGGAGTCTGCTCTGCCCAGATTGGGGGCTGGAGGTGGCATCTGCTCCAAGGCAGGCAGAGGGTGGCTCTACAGCAGGTTTCTCAGTCAACTACCCTTCCCTGGGCTGGGGGGGGCGGTACAGCTCTGGCCACGAACCCGTGTTCAGCCCTCCTGCCTAGGGGAGGGCCAGAGCTGACCCTCCTTGGCCATGCTGGGCCTGGTTCAGGTCCAGCTTTGCTGCCTGAGCCCCAGGTCACAGCACAGCTCAGGCCAAGCCTAAGAAACCTCAGAGAGAATCTGGCTCAGCCTGCAGCTGCCAGCCTGGTAGGAACACATGTGACAGGGGCAGTGTTGAGGGGGGGCCCGGTGGGCCGTGGGCTCGTCCTGTCCACCAGCCTTCCCTGGGAACTGGGGAGAAGCTCATTGAACAGGAGTCTACCCCCAAGTCACAGAGACGTGCCGGATGGGCAGGGGCGAGGCAGAGAACCCACTGGCAGCCGCAGGCCTTGCAGCGGCCAGGGCTTCAGGGCAGGGCATTGAGGGGCCTCCCCACATCCATGCAGGCTGCCTCTCAGCCTCAGTCCTCAGCTCCCTCCATGCCTGGTGGTGGCAGCCAGGGGAAACCGCGTGGCACAGGGCCCGCTGCCCCATGCCCCCTCCGCCAGTGGAACGTCCCGCTCCAGGGCCTTGGCACAAGGCTTTCCCAGGGCCAGGCTGCCCAGACAGTAGGTTGGGGTCGCCTGGGGCCTGGCGTGCGTACTGGAGCTCTCCCCTCTTCCTCCCCCCGACGGTGACAGTGCCCAGCCTCCAAGGGAAGGAGGCAGGCCTGGGTTGATCGTCCCCTCCAGGCCCTGAGCACCTCAGCAGCGCCACCTCGTCTCTTCCCTCTGAGGACAGAGAACCGAACACAGCGCTGGGCAGTGCTCAGAGGACGGCGTGATGTATAGACGCACCAATGACAGAACCAACCGAAATCCACACTCCTGGATCAGGACAACCCAGGCCCCTGTTCCATGCCTTCGTCCGAGCCCTGTCTGCCTCCCCCAGCAGCCTGTGGCACTCCGGGAAGGTCCGGGACTCAGACGCCCTGGGGCTACCCCAAGAGTCATTCCTTGTCTCCCGCCAGTGCTGGCCCAGCCTCTGGCTGATGCCCGGTGGCCGGGTTCACTCCAGCAGAGGTGTCCTTCCTGCCACTGCACTGCCCTACTGCACAGACTCCAATCTACTGTCCCAAAGGTAACTCTTGTCCTTGTGCGGTATAGAAATTCCTCACCCTGGTGCCCCAGCATGCCAGGAATGGAGCCAGGGCAGGGTCGGGCAGGAGGTGGAAGCAGGGGACTCCCGAGGTAAGTCTCCTCTGCTCTGGAGTCAAGCTGGGGCCTGGCCGGGCTGCCCCTGCCCCCACCGGCCCCCCCACTTCCTGCAGGCTCAGGTGAAAAATAAACACAGTCGGCATTTTCCCTGCAGACCGCAGCGGTCTGCTCGCAGGCTGTGTGCACGCTGAGAGCCCTCGCCGCCGCCAGCAGAGAAACTCCCTCGCCTTTGACGGTTGACTCTGAAAACCCCTAAACGCTTGAGCCCCACAACACTTTCCCAGCGAAGAAAGTTGAAAGTTTCTCTGGCCTCAAGCGTGAGGGGGTGGGGGAGGGCAAGGCCTGGCCCGTGGCAGGGGGCTATGCCAGGGGAAGCCTCCCCCCACGCACCAGTATTCTCAGTTGGTCACCATCGGCACACATTCAATCAGGGTGTATTTACTGAGCTCCTACTAAGTGCCAGGCAAAAGAACG